CGGGCGTCGACACGAAGCCGAAGCCGTTGTGGCCGTCGACTTGTGCCACGGCCGGCGTGACCTGGTTGATGCTTGGTTGGGCCGCGGCATTGAGTACCCCTTGGCGGATGCGTTCCATGTACGAAGGGATCCGGTTCATGCCGTGTGTGTCGACGCCACGGAGGTCAGCTTCAATAAGACATTTTGCAATAATGGTTGCATTCTCTCCAGACACCCCGTTCCCTGTGAGGATGTCTTCCACTAGGCGTCGCGCTTCTGATGGGGATACATGTTTTGTGACGCTGTCCTCAGCCGATGCCATCTTGTATAATCCGAGTAAAGAATTTGAATGATGCATTCATTCGTAGGCCAGCTACACAAGTGCTGGGAATCAACGGTTGGATCATCTCGGCGTCGTCGAGTAGAATCCCATGGAGCGGGAATTTTCCGCCCCGCCCAGTCGTCATTATGCGGACTTTGTCCGTGCAGCTCCCTCATCGGCCTTTTACCGCCCTGACTCTTCCGCTCGCCCAGTCAACAGTTTCGAGAGAAATGTAACCCAAGCACCAATGTCTGAGTCGGAAAGTCATACAGCGAGCCCAGTCAGGGCGTCTACAAGACGACAGGCTCGCAATCCGCGTTTGCGGCTGGCTTGTCTGCGATGTCAACGTCGCAAGATCAAGGTGGGCGGCTGGCTTTGGCACCGGGTGGAAGTGAGTGCGGGCTAACAAACAGCTTCAAAGTGCGATGGGGAACTTCCTCAGTGTAAGCATTGCCGGAACACGGGGTCGGAGTGTGTGGATGGTGAGAGTGCCCGACTAAAAGACTTTCCAAGAGCGTACGACATTCCCGCATCTCATCAGTTGGCCTCCCGGAGCCTTTCACTTCCTAGCTAACTAACATGGGCTCAGGTACATTACAAACCTGAAGGACCGTGTCAAGTGGCTGGAAAGCATCATTCACGAAAAATGCCCCTATGTTGATCTGAGCCAGGGGCCGAATTGTGAGAAACTCAAGACCGTCTTGAACGGCGAGTCAACATCGGTTGTTGCACAAGTCGAGCCCGTCGCCTCAAATCCGGGGCAAAATGAATCCAGGACAGCTTCATCACATGAAATTGGTCTTGTGTCCTTGGGGGGCAGCCAGGATCCGCGCTACATTGGCCCCTCGAGCGGATATTTTCTCGCCAGAGTCATGCTCACCAAGGGTTCCTCGCCAGGCATTTCCGGCAGCCGACACATGGTGTTTCCGACGGATCTTATTGAGACGGTGCAAAGCGCTGCCAGTCTGCCGGCGAGGGAGATTGCAGACCAAATCTGCGATGCCTTCTTCGAAAGCCTCCATACCATGTATCCCGTTTTGCACCGGCCGACCTTCAACAAGGTCCTGGACAAGATGTACACCCTGCAGTACGATGATCCGCCGGCCTGCTTCCAGGTGTACATGGTGATGGCGCTGGGGAGTCTGGTGGTATCGCAGAGGCTAAAGGCAATCCTGCCATGTGAGAGGTATGGCCTCTCGGCGTTGAGGTACTTTGATCGGATCAATGTGGAAAACTCGCTGCAGGGTCTGCAGTGCCTATTGCTGCTCCTCATCTTTACGCTGCACAATCCGCACGTCAGGGTGAATATCTGGCATCTAAACTATCAGGCCATAGCAGCGGCAGTTGACTTGGGCCTCCAGCGCGACGTCACCACGCAAGCGGGAATCTCGCTGCTCGAGCAAGAAATGAGAACAAGGATCTTCTGGGTGGTCTTTATGATGGACCGAATCATCGCCACGACCATGGGTCGTCCCATCGGACTACGAGACGAAGCGTGCGACCTGAGGTTGCCGCGCATCCTCGACGACATGGACATCATGACAGCCGGCACTCCTCACTCTCACAGCTCGGCCTTCAAACCCATTGCGTACTCGATTCACCTCTTCCGGCTGGCCAAACTCAACTCGGAAATCAAGTACGTCGCAAACAGCGTGGTCCGACAGACGCCCGTCTACGCATACCCAGCCGTGATTGACATTTACGAGTGGCAAGCCAGCATGCTAGAGCAGATCAATCAGTGGGAGGAGCACATTCCCACGGGCGACGGCACGCCCGCCACGCAACACCTGGAGACGGTCTGTCGCATCCAGGGCCATACGTTGCGCATGGTGCTCCTGCGGCCGAGCCCTGCCATCCCGAGGCCGACAAGGGAGGCCTTGGAAAAGTGCCATTCCAGCGCGCGGGAGTCGCTCAAGCTCCTCAACAAGCTCTACGTCCGAAGCACCCTCATCCACAGCTGGCTGACCTTTCACGCCGTGGTCCTGAGCACGCTGAGCATCCTGTACTGCGTCAAAATGGTGCCGGATCTCCGCCACCAGACAGACATACCCGAGCTCATGAGCGACCTCAGCATCTCGTCCAGCATCCTCTCCGCCACGGGCGAGCACTGGTCGGGGGCACGGCGCTGCCGCGACATCCTCGACGAGCTCGGCCGCTCCACCATCAAGGACCTCCTCGCGCCCGACGCCCCAACACCAGCACGAGAGTCCAGCAGACGACGCGGACGCGCCACGGTTCAGCACCAGACCGCGGCGACCACCACCCCCATCTCGCTATCAGACGTGGACTTGGCCACGGACGCAAGGGCATACACGCCCATGATTGAGCCGAGCGCCTTCTTCGACGACTTCCTCGGCAACGACTCGTTTGCAAATTGCTTCCCCGACGAGAGTTCCAGCAACATTGACGAAATCGTGCGCAACATGTTCCAGGACGACACAACCGCAACCGCATTCGGGTAGAAAATGTTGATTTCTTTTCTTTTTTTTGGTCTAAAATATACCGCCATGTAAGCCCCCATCTTTTTCTATAGAAACAACAATAAAAAGACGCAGTGTAAACAAGTTCCAAGCTGTCACGGCTCCTTTGTGCCCCGGACGTATTTGGAATGCCGGGCCAGGGTGACTGGGGTCTCGGAGCCGTCCTCTTCCAGCTTGTTGATGGCGATGCTCACAAAGGCCAGACTGCCGCCTACGCGCTCGGCGGGGCTGGGGGTGAGCACCGTGTCGCCGGCGGCGGCGGTCGACAGGAACATGAGGTGCATGTCGACCGAGGCGCCCGTCTTTTCGCGCAGGTCGTGCGAGCAAATGGCCAGCCCGGTGACGAAGTCGACTATGGTGGCGCTGACGGCGCCGTGGAGGCCGCCCTTGCTGTTGAGGTGGGTGGCCGAGAGCGTGAGCCGGAGCGTGACGGTGCCGGCGGCGACGGCGGTGAGCTGGATGTCGGAGAGGATGAGGCCGTAGATGGGCGATTTGGAGAGCAGGCTCTGTGTTAGGGCGTGGACTTTGGCGGTCCGCGCTGCATCGGCGGCGGCAGTGTTGTCTTGCGAGGGCGTTTCGTTGCTCGTGGAGGAGAGCGTCATTTTTGACGGTTTTTGATGGTTTTGGGGGGAGTGGTGATAACAGAGGTGAGGCGCGGTTGAAGGATTGAAGGATTTCGGTTTTTGGTGCGGGTTCCACTTGAGCACGCCACGCCGTGGCCGGTCCCACGGGCATGGAAATAGAATGGTGATGTAATCCTCGGTGCTCCGTAACCCCTGTACTCGGTGCCATGTGCTGTTCCCTGGGGCGGCCGTGAGGAATGGCAGTGGAGCGGCAAGATCGGCGGCGGAGATGAAGTGGCACTGACATTCACGGCCAAACTTTATCTTGGCACAGGGCTGGAGGGGACGGGGACTAGAACCCCCCGTCCGACGGAAGCACACATCCTTGTAACTACAGCCTTGGGACATCGAAGCTCCGTCGGAGCTGCGCTGCACCGACTTCACCAATGAACGCTCCGCGGAGGCGCCCTGTGTGAGATGTCGAAGGCGCAAGCTGGGAGTATGTGCCGAATCACGATATGCTTCAATGTTTCTCCCGACTAACCCCTAACCCAGTGCGACCAAACCCGTCCCTGCCAGCTGATCCAGTGGCGCGAGAAGCTGCCCGACAGACTGAGAATCGAGTCCTACGCAACCACCTCCCGGCAGACATCACTGCTTCAGATGCAGGCTCTGTCTCTGCAGCTGGCATATGACAATCTCAAAATCATCCTACACCGCAGCGCGGCGTTCCGTGTGGCCGATGACGCCAGCAGAGTCGACGCGACAAGCATCTCGAGCCCCTTTTCTCACCGGCAGCTATTCGAAGCTGCTATCCGGACGTCAGACTTGCACAAATACGCGCATGTGCTGCGGGAGTGTCAAAGGACCCATGCGAACATGCACATTGGTATCACGCTCTTCACCGCCGGCGTGGTCCTGTGTGCGATTTGTCTGTTCCAGCCCATGTCCAAGGTCAGCCAGAGGGCCAAGACGGGCATATCACATCATCCGGATTTGCCACGACAACTCGTCGGCGCAGCACCTCGTTTCGGCCCAGTGCGTCAAGATTCTGGAAGGCCTAGTTGCGGTCATTCTGCAGGCTGAAAATCAGCTGATAACAGGGGGTCAGTCTCTTGTTGTTGGCGGAAGAGGCGGCACGGGGGTGCTAGATCCCTTACAAGAAGGTGGTGATTCCCGTCTTTATTTTTTTCCTAAATGAAAAGGGAGAATTTGAGGCTCGTTGCTGACAAGGGGGAACTAGTATTTGAGCGCCATGTGCAACGACCTGCTCCCCCGGGAGACGCACAAAAAGGTCTGCAGCCAGGCGATGACAACATGGGCCAGCATCGGAATCCGGGAGCTGAATCGGGCGCTGCCCAGGTGGTCGATCCGGCCACGGGATTTGACTGGGATGGGGAGTTGTCGCTGTTGGCAGACTCTGGGCTTGGAGATGCCAGCCAGTTGTGGCTTTGGGCGGATAACCTCAACCATGACTCTTTTGCAGAGTTTAACGACGCTCGGCTCCGCCAAGCTTGCTACCGCTTGGCGCCATCTACGACATCCCGCTGGAAATCTTCAAGGATGCCGAATAAACATTCACCAGACGCTGGGGAACTGCTGGAAGCAGCCGATGAGCAGGCCATTTGCGGTGATTCACATCCTACGAGCTCAACGAATTTGATCTGGAGGGGATCTGTTCTCACCGACACAATGTCGTGTTGGTCTCGAATATAGGATTAGACAGGCTGAGACAGGTCCATCACATGCGCAATGTATTATTATTATTATTCTTATCATTGATATTACATAAAAGCCAAGGAATTTTATGATCCAATTATACGACCGTGATGAAATAAAATGTAATTCTGGGCCGGCACTCAATCTTGCCCTGGCAAATGAATAATCCAAACTGCAAACCCCATATTTCGTTTACAGTGCAACAGCGGCCACCAGGATAGCTCCAGCAACGACAGCGACTGAAACCTGGAGAATTCCAGCCCCGGCGGTAGTAGTAGTTGGAGTAGCAGTAGTTGGTGTTGTTGCCGTTGTTGCCGTTGTTGCCGTTGCTCCAGTAGTAGTCGCCTCGGTAGTAGTCTCCTCGGTAGTAGTCGCATCGGTAGTGCCCGCCTCGGTAGTAGCCGCCTCGGTAGTAGTCTGCTCGGTAGTAGTCGCCTCGGTAGCAGTCTCCTCGGTAGTAGTCGAGGTTTCGGTCTCGGTGCCGGTAGTGGTTGTCTCTTCGGACGCGGTACCAGTCTTGGTTCCAGTCGAGGTTCTGGTTCCCGTTATCTCGCTCGTAAGAGCACCGGTACGCGGCGTCCCGGAGGTCTCGGTCTCGGTGCCCGAAGTCTCGGTGCCGGACTCGGACGTGGCCGTGGCCGTGGCTTCGTGCGAGGCGACACACGCACATAGGGAGACTCCGGCTCTGAGTCCCGCGGGAATATCAGATGCGCTGCACGTGGCGGCGCATCCAAAAGCAAGCGACTGGATGGCAGTGTACGATTCGGGATTGCATTGGCCTGGTGACAAGGGGCAGTCAGCGTCCGCGACAACACGAGTCCATCAGAGGGCACCACCAACATTCGAGGTCGGCAGTGTTTGTACACCCTGCTTTGGAAGCTGCTTCTCTTGCGCAGGACAACTACACGGCCTGACGGTTAGTTTATGGGCAAGCATTGGCGGGCAAACATGGGAGGCGAACCACGCAGCTTGGGAACTTGGTCGTCAACGAGAGACAGGGCTCCTCTGACGCAGCTGCGAGTGAGCCAAGAGCCGCCAGGCTGATAATGATGGAATTCTTCATTTTTTTTGTTTTTGGTCTGAAATAGGGGCGTCTACAGAGGGAATAACGACCGTCTTGCTCGGGAGAGAGTCCGGGAACATTGGGCAAAAGGCGTGAGCAACCCAATATATGTCCCCAGGGCCAACACGGTGAAGCCACTCGCAGTCAAGGAACTGCGGGCGGATCAAGCCCTTGGGCTGCGATTCGAGGAACCATTCTCCGGTCGGCACCACCGGTTGGTGAGATTCCCAGTGTGAGGGGGTTCGCCCGATCTGTTTGAATAAGCTTCATTTGGCGCTGGATGTAAGTTTCGGTGCGCGTCCTCTGCGCGCTGGCTGACCTCGACTCCCTGGAGATGTTGTTGGATGTATCGACACGCGGATCTCAGGGTAGACAGCTACAGGGCAGTTTGTAATGGCGTTGAGATGCGTGTATGATGTCGTCCCGGGTTGCATGTCACTTGGGCCAGCCACCAACCGAGGCTCCCGGGTACAAGCCGCACGACAACGACGAGATTCGTCGCGACGAAAGTCTGATGCAAGCCCCAGATCCAAAATACGATGCGCTAGTGAAGCCGCTGATGGAAGGGTGGTCGTGAGTGATTGGATGCTGCTTCTGCAAGGTTCATTGGCGGATGGCTTGCCGTCGTGGTGTCAACTGGTGCTTTTTTGCATTTGATCTTTACCCGAAGATGGTTCTTACTTGGGCACCGACCATGAAATCACTATCAAGAGCCTTTTGTGTGATTCCTGCATCTACACGGAGTCATAAGAGCCTCTGGAGGGTCTTCTCAGATACAGCCAGCTAGCGATGGTTGCTCTCGCTTCGGTCGTGAGCCTGCCTTATTCCTAAGAACGATGATTCGATTTTGAAAAGTGGCGTCAAAAAGGGCATTCGGCGTCCAACCCGCAGGTATGGGAATGACAAAAACTTTGCACTCTTATACCAGTCGCTCATGCTCTAGAAATTCAATCATATATCCTGCGTGTATTCGTGGCTCAAAACAGTTTAGGAGCCGTCGTTCTCACCTCGATGCAGCATGGATTGGCTCTATTTCCCAGGTGCTGAGCCGAGAACAGTTAACCGTCTCGACACATTCTGTTCTGTAGAAACGGTTTGAGAATCAAGGTACAAAGAGTCTCAAACTCCTCTAGGACTCACCTAGGCGGGCACAGCAATCTATTTTGGACCCCTAAGCATTTATTGCGTCATGATAAAATTGAGCAACATTTTGCGTTTAGGGTAGCCAACTCCTAAGGTGTTGCCGGGTCAACGTGCACGTCCACGAGCATAGCTGCAGCGAAGGGCTCGAAACCAAAATAATCAACCCGGTCAATTAATCGTGCTCGCCCCACTATTTTAGGCGTCTCGTTTCACTTACTATTTAAAGGTAATGCTTAATAGTAAGGTAAGTTACCTATTAAGATAAGTTAATTTTTTAATATTAACGTATTAACCTATAAAAATAATTATAATTAACGTTTAAAAGATAAAAAGTAAAGTTAAATTATATATTATTAAAGCTCTTTAATTTATTAATTAAAATTTAAGTATAAAACTTTAAGTTATAATTTAAAAATTTAATATATCTTATAATAAGCTTTAATAATAAAATAATAATATTTTTATTA